CACAGTGGCCACTCTGAGCAACCCCTCTGTGCAACACAAGATCAGGTACTAGGCCACCTGCAATGTTTAGGCTCAGCACTTTAGGAACAGCTAGGAAAACTCTGACTCTGTAGAACTTGCACCCCAGCAACATAGTCCCAGCTCTGTTACATGGTTCATTGTGTCCTGTCCAGAAGAGGGATATCAGATGAATCAAAGTTACCCTAGGCAAGGTGAGCTGATCTAAAGTTTGGTCTCAGCAGGGCCGTCTCTTCCACCTGCTTTTGTTTTCCTACTGACCGCAAACGTTTCTCGCATCTCCTCCCAACATGGTGTTATTGCTGGACAGAGCAAGGAGAAGAAAGGAGACATTATTCGACTTGGCAGCACCAAGACAATCATACTGGGAGGGCTCCAGGCATTGCCCTGACAACCCCAGGGGGCTGCTACAGCCCAGAACGCAGTGACAGGCTCCCCAGAAGTGTCACCTACTGTTAACACTGCTTTCTACCTCCCACTAAGACCCAACATCCTCCCTCAGCTCCTTGATATTTTGCTGGGGAATCTTCTCTCCTAAAAGCAGCATATGCAGTGGGACAAGTTGGCCCTGGCAAAGAAAGTTCTTCCTCACAGGCTTTTAGACTGCTGCCAATATGCCAGGACTCCTTTCCATCACCATAGGAGCCGATCTTGGCACCTCCTCCTCCTCCTGGGCAGCCACAGCCTTGCCCATCCCCTTCCCTCCTCATAGCACCACTATGTGCACTGGGCAGGAAAGAGATCAGAGGGGACTAAATTCAGGCTAGAGGGATACAAACAGCATCTCTCCTGCAATACAAGTGTGGAGCTGCAGCTAGCTCCGAAAAGCAAAGCTGCTGTGCTGCCATGGGTGAAAGCTCCAGAGAGATCCTGGGAGGCTGCCACCCTGCCCACAGTCCTTCAGCACAAATGGGAAGGACACAAGCAGCAGCTGCACAGCTCACCCTGCTCCTAGAGGGGAGTGACGACTTCCATGGGTTTGGGCAGGAAAGCCACTCAGCCAGGCAGCCCCGACAGACTGCTCACCCTGGCGAGGCTGACAGCCAGAGCTGGTGAGAGCTCTGCTGCTAGAAGAAACTCTGTATTGTGACGGCAGAAGGAGGATGAGGAATGCTAGCCTGGCTTCGCTGCTGCTCCTGCCCCTCCTTGCCCACGGGTAGCTCACCTTGGCCTTGTTCTGGACAGGCAGATACAGCTTGAACTCGGCCGGGAGCTCATCCTCGGAGTAGAGCCGGTCTGAGAAGTACACCCGCCGGATGCGGCAGTTGGCATGGATCTGCGAGGCAAAACAGAGTCACTCTCCATATGGTTTGCCACCTCCGGCTCCACTGCCATGCAGCAGCCTGGATTCCTTGGCTCAGCAGCTGGGGAGCAGCTTCACTGCCTCTCCCTGAAGCTGACAAGGGCATCAGAGAAGAAGCGGTGCTCCATGCCCTCAGCTTTGTGTTAGATGAACCAGCCTGCACCACTGGAGAGAGCAAGAGACTTGGCCAGGCTCTGGCATCTCTGCAAATTGGTTAGCCTTAGTTGCTTACAGGGCTCCTTGCCATGAACCCACCTCTGTTTCTCCACTGGTATCAGCATTTGCCAGAACACTCGCAGCCGCGGCTTGCTGCATTTTTAAGACTCCCTGTTCAGGGCCTCCCCAAGCTCAGGAATGAGACTGTCCAGCCTGTGCTGCCTCCACTATCAGCTGGCAGGGAAGGAATTGCTCCAGTCCCCTCAAAGGTACATGAGGGGGCAGATGTTTCCCAGCTGACTGCCTGTTCATCTCAGGGCAACCCCGCGGGGGACTGTGGCAGAACCATCATACAAAAGAGCAGGTGTGCTTCACACACAGGCATTTCTCAAAGTAAGACATGCTGCTGGACACAGCCAAATGAGTCTCTAACATATGGTTTCACATCCTCAGCAGGCACAACTGCTGCGTCAGCTCTGGTCCATGGTGAAGGGAGGGTCACACAAGTGAAGGTGGGGTCACTCCACCTGCACCAGGAAACAAGCCTGACCAGGGATCTGCAAGACAGAGGGTAGGAGGCTCTACAGAGGGACTTGGACAGGCTGGATCGATGGGTTGAGGCCAATGATATGAGCTCCAACAAGGCCATGTGCTGGGTCCTGCCCTTGGGCCACAACGCAGTGCAGCACTGCAGGCCTGGGGAAGAGTAGCTGGAAAAAGTCCAGCAGAAAGGGGCCTGGGGGTGCTGATCAACAACCAGCTAAATAAGAGGTAGCAGTGTGCCCAGGTAGCCACCAGCATCCTGGCTTGTATCAACACTAGTGTGGCCAGCAGGACTAGGGTGGGGATCATCCCCCTGGACTGGGCACTGGGGAGGCCACCCCTTAAATCCTGGGTTCAGTTTTGGGCACCTCAATACAAGGAAGGCTTTGATGGGATGGATCGTGTCCAGAGAAGGGCAACAAAGCTGGGGAAGGGTCTAGAGCACAAGTCTTGAGATGAGCAGTTGAGGGACACGGTGTGGTTGAGCCTGGAGAAAAGGAGGTTCAGAGATTATGACCCTTGACAACTACCTGAAAGGTTGGAGCAAGGTGGAGGTCAGTCTCTTTTCCCAAGGAATAAGTGACAGGGCCAGAGGAAACAACCTCAAGTTGTGCCAGGGAAGGTTTAGGTTGGACACAAGGAAAAGTTTCTTCCCTGAAAGAGTTGCCAATCATTTGACCAGGCTGCCCAGGGAGCCCATCCCTGGATGGGTTTAGAAGCCACATAGATATACTGTGTTTAGGGATATGGTTTAGAAGTGGACTTAGGTTAATGGCTGAAGATCTTAAAGGTCTTTCCAAATCTAAATGATCTATGTACAGACCATACGACGCTGGGTCTCTACCAGCCACGCTCCCACTGGGCCACCCACAGTCTGGCATGTCGGTAGGCAGCACACAGCTAATTCCCAGCAGACCTCCACCCAGCAGGACATGTGGCACGCCACAGGGAGCTCAACCTCAAGGCGGACTGCAACTCCTACCCAAACCAACAGTCAGCAAGAAAAACAAGATGGAAATGGGCTCCTTCATCCCAGTCTAGCCCAGTGAAATGAGGCAGCAGCCCGCTGCCTTGGCTGGGCCATTGCTCCACAAAGAGCAAGAGTGGCAAAGGAACCAGTTAGGGCTAAACCCGGGTTCTAAACCTACAGCAGGGGTGTCCCAGCCAGTGGGATGATGACCAGGCACTGGTTTCTGGGAGCAGGACACGTCTGCTTCTCACCTGAACTCTCAGGGTCTCGATGTAGTTTGTCCCGTAGGCCCGGCGCGTGAAGTCCGAGAGGTTGAACTGGATCTGGTTCCAGCCGTCGTCCAGCCGCATGGGCATGGTGCAGATGAAGGGCTTCACCCGCGTCGTGCTCTGGTAGTTACTCGCCCGGAAACGCCGCCGAACGTTCTTATCATCCAGCACCTTGGGTGAGGTGGGAAGGCTGCTGACCCAGGAGTCGGGGGCCCCCAGCTCCCCGAGACAACAGCTGCTCTAGATTCAGGATCCGCCCAGTTGCGGGCCCCCCCCGCCTCCGAGAGAAGACTCTCCTACTCCCACCCCTCCCTTTCACAGCAGGAGTATTTTTACTGCAGGAAACAGACCCTTTTCCAGGAACAGCAATGATGTGCTTGTGAGCTGACTGATGCTCCCACAGCAGAAGACTTCACACATGGCATGGCCAAAGAAGCAAAACTGTTTGGGGGACCGCTCGCTGCCTGGGACAAGCTCCAACATAAGCCTGCAGACTCCTTACTGGTCCCTGCAGGGACCTCCCTGCTGCACGCTCCTCACCTGCACTTCAAAGGTGAAGTACTTCTTCAGGTTTTTGATGATCATCACTAGGAAAGGTAGTTTGATGCCAAGGGTCTTCTTTGGGTCAGCAGGGCACGTGATGTACGTGGTACTAAGAGGGACAGAAAAACACTTCAGGATCTCAGATGGCACAAAGTGAACAGCCCGAGTGCCAAGTCTCTCCCTTGACCGAACGCGGCCTTCGCGGAGAGGCAAAACAGCTGTAATCATTCAGACCTCAGGAATCACCAGGGCTCCCTGTAACAGCAGGGAGAGGTTCAGAGGCGGCTGCAGGGAGAAGATAAAAGACCCACAGAATGCATTTCAAATCCCACTTTTCTCACCCAGATCATGAAACACCTTCCTGGACAGCTTCACCACCCCACACTCAAGGCCATGTCAGTGCCGTTTCTTAACGCAACCTCCTCCCAGCTATGACTGAGCAGGTAGAGCCCTCCAGGGCACAGCAGAGGCCCTGCATGCTCTATACAGTTGGTAAAACAGAGGTCACGAGCCCTAGAAGTGCACGTCACGCCTGGCAAGCTCTGTATCAACACATCTTGGGAGGAGAAGTGCCGGCTGAGCCTGGCAGCAGGAGAGGAGGCTCCGCTGGCCTTATAAGGAGCGCCCTGCTCCAAACCACCCTTGGAGCCTTGGAGACTCTGACCCTGGCATCTCGCTCCCTGGTCAATGTAAGTGAAGCACCCCAAGCAGCGGCTGTCATCAATCTCCATTTGATCTTCCTGCAGCAGAGAGCAGCAGAGCAGAGCTCACGCAGGAAAGGTGCAGAAGACTGACTGCTGCTTCCTCAGTAACAGGTGCTACTGACTTTTGCCCTCCAAGTGATGGAAAAATAACAGGGCTATTTTATTTTTTATCCCTTAGCCCCACCAAGGATGACAGAGAGCTCTACCAGCATGTCCAGGGAACAGCACGGCACAGAGGGGTATCAGTGATCTCACCCCAGATCGTATTCTGCAGTTTACTGACAAAGACTGCAGCAGAGTCTGGAGGAGATGTCTGCTGGGCATGGACATCTTTCACTCTGTTCCATGCAGAAGAAGATGCCTTCTCATACCTGACGTTGGTTCCTTCGATCTCCAGCACCAGCGACTGGATGTCATTGTCGGTGATCCGCTTGATGTGCCCATTGCGCACCTGGAAAAGTGGGGCAGTGAAATGCTGGGGTTTGAACCCCAAGCCCTAAATTAAGGTTGACATATGGGTGATTCCCACAGCCCTTCATAAAGAGGGGGTAAGTTTGCCTTATAGCTTCCCCCCAGGGTGCAGCCGGCCCTGCAGGGAGAGCCATAAGGGAAATGAGCCCCAGGGGCCCCACACTGAGTGCACAAAGGTCAGGTGTCTGCTTGGGGATAAAAGCTGGGACCACTGGCAGGGAGTCAGGAGTGTCTGTCTGTGGAGTGCACTCCCCAGAGCTTCCTGGTTCAGGGCAGACCTCCTGACTCTCCCTGGAGCTGGGCCCTGGTCTGTTTAGACCTTTGCAAATGCCCTGGGCCCGATCGGGTGAGAGTCGCCATGTGGGCACCTTTCTCTTATGTGTTTAACTGGCTGGTCTGGCTGTTTCCCATGCCAACTGTGGGCAACCTCAGGTCTCTGTTTGTACCACCTGTTGTGGGCCGAGTTACGTCCTTTGTGAGATCGTTGAGGGTGGCATCAATTCTGTACCAGCTGATTGATCTGTTTGTACCCCCAGTGATCATTCATGGAATGTCCTTTTTGTGTACAATACAGTCTGTGTATTGGTTCATCTTCCTGCTGGCTGTATCATTTTTGTTGGGCCTGGTCATTGGCAAAACAGGCAGACACCACAGATGTTACTCGAGAAGATAATGAGGCACCAAAGCTCCACTGAGAGGGGGAAAAAGGTCCCAGGAGGAATCCATATACGTTCACTTGGCTCCTGTCGTTCTGGACATGACCATTTCCAAGGCTTTGATCAGTGCCCCAGAGTGCCACAACTCCAAGCAAGAGTTTATGGCCCAGCACACTGCACAGACACAGAGTGCAAGACTTCCATCTATCCAAATATGCTACAGTGAACACAAGTGACTCAAGCCTCATATTAGAGGCCCAAATAAACAAACAGAGAAGCGTCAGACCAAGATCAAACTAGGCAGGGATAAGGAGTAGGAGCAGTAGGGCAGCAAAAGGAGCCACCAACCAGTCACCAAGGGGTCCTGGTCTCTACTGCCTCTGCAGGAAAACTTGGTTAAAATTCTCCCTAATTGCAGTGCACACAAGCGTGGAGCCACTGTCTGCTCAGGCACAGGGATTTGGCTGCTCCGGTGAAGCCAGCTCCCCACAGAGCTCAGGGAGGCCAGGCCTGGAACTAGAAGCCAACACAAATTCACTTTTCTCCACAAGCAACATGGCTGAATCCCAGGGTCTGAGGATTTATTTTCTTTAATGAAGGAGCTCACTTCCCATCAAGTTTATCTCCCTTCAAAAAGGCACTTTTGTTAATTAAGCCCTTCCCCAGTGCTACACCAGCTAACTGCAACGCTCCTCCCAGCTCCATTAATTAATTTCCTCAGCATCTATCACTGCTGCTAATACATAGGATACATTAAGCTCCTAATGGGATGGCTCCAGTACAAAATGATTTATAGGTTTAGCAATTAATCTTCAAAGTTAACTTCTTCAGAAGGACCTGCCTGGGTGACGTCACGGGCATTTGCTGGAAGGGATGAGCCCTGTGAGCAGCCCACCCCCGAGGCCTGTCTCTGCATTAAACAATTTCCAGAAACCTTAGCCTGGATCACCCAGCTCCTGCTGCCAAGCGTGAGAGTGCAGCTCGCCCTGCCAGGCTGTTCTTTACTCTGCTTCAAGCCTGCACGGATGCATCCAGAAAGCATTAAGCTCAAAAAGATCCTTACAGGATAACTGTGTCTCTCCTTTGCATCAAGTGCCACTCCCAAGGATTTCTAGGTCTCTTCAGGAGAAAGCAACTACATGAGATCTAGATGAGTTGCCATCTTGTTGGGGCTTTTGGTTTTAAATTAAAATCACCAGCCCAGCAGAAGCCTCATATGCTCCTCTGTTTGAGGCAGCATCTAGCATATGGGAAACGAAATCCTGGAAGCCACAGGGATACAGCACATGGACATCATCCTGCCTAAGCAGGTGACAGTAGTGCCCAACAAAACTTGCCTCCACACCACGTAAGACAGCTTTTACCAAGGGCAGCTTATGTCTCCACAGAGGAGAGAAGGTTCACATTTGGGCTTCTCTGGAGAGGACAGTGACAGAGACAACAGCTAAACATGCTTTAAAACAATTATTTAGCAGGGTTTCTATCTGTAGCCAGGCCTCCTTCCTTAGCCTGTGAAGGCTTTCCTTCCCCAGACTACAGGGACAACGAAAAGAAGCAACTCTTCTTCCTCAGCATTGCCAGAAACGGGACAAAAGACATCAGGAAAGAGGAGATGAGGGCAAGCCAGGGCCAGACTAGGGCAGAGTCCTTTCTCCCAGTCCCACCCCGCTCTGGAGCTCGCCTCCTGCTTGCCTCAGGGACAAAGGACACATCTTGGGCCACAGCCAGAAGGGAACTTCTCTCTCCTGCCAGCTCTGAGGGTCCCTTCCCAAGGAGCTCGCTCAGACCAGGCCATCTTCAGCTCCACCAGGCAGAGCTGCTGGCTCTGTGTGGCACAGGGTGGGAGGGACAGCCCTGCTGCACTCCCCGGGGCTGCTCAGCAAGAGCTCCCAGGCTTCAGGGGCTGTCTTCTGCCTCATGGAAGCTCAGAAAGAGAAGATTTCAGAAAATTTCAGGAACCTAGAAAAAACTCCACACATTTCTACTTGGGCAGTATTTTCTAGCCATCTTTAGACTAAGAAGGTGGATTTTTCAATCTGAGAGAAAGGCTAATAGCCTTCTTGGGAAACAGAAATTCTTCAAATGCTTAATATCCTCTGACTCTGGCTAACTGGGAAATAACCTGTTGCTTAAAGACCCACTGGAAAAGCTTTTTGTTGTGTGCAAAGCTCACATCTCACAGGGTCTGGAGGGAGCAGCAGCTTCACGGACAATTGTGACCAAACAGATACACTTCTTGAGGCTTCTGTCGCTGCTAGCAACACCAGTCAAATGTAACAAAGCCAGAGGAAAAGCAGCAAGGAGCGACCCTCCCGCTGGCAACCAGGCGGCCGCGGGACGAGGCTGACCTCTGGAGGCCCTCTCCTACTTGGCTGGGTGACAGGCTAGAGCCCAGGCTACTGTAGGCACGGATACATCCCTGCCATGGGACAGGCAAACGCTTCTCAAAGCCACCAGAGCAGGCACAGAGGTATTTGTGCCACCTCCTTCCCCTAGGAAGGGAGAGAGGGCAAAGCAAGAGGCAGAAGCGGGAGCTACCCAGCTCTGCTCCAGCACCCAGAAGTTTAGGGAGGAGGAGGAGCGAGCAGCTTGTGCTGCTGTATTTGAGATGTAGAGACCTGAGACAACACAGACAAGGATGATGTGCCAGAAAGAGTCAGAGAGGGCCTGCAAGAGAGGACCCCACGACAGTGTTCACAGGGACACGGTCCTGGCCACGCTCACCAGGGATATCACCATCTGTGTCCTGGTGGCAGGGCATGAATCTGACACTCATCAAACACTATCTGGTATCTGAACACTAGCGGTATCGAACACTAGCTGACCTCATGTCCTCCCAGGAGCACTGGAAATCACTAACAATACTCCGTGCTGATGCACCAGCAGGAGGAACATGGAAAAATCAGGAAGAAGATTGATAGGTTTGACAACTGGCATGTAACCGCTCCCGTCTGCACTGCATAAAAGCATCAGTGAGTGCCCTGGAGACTGGTCAGCACGTCTCCGTGGGAACACGGTGGCAAGACACTGCAGGAACAAACAGAGGTCTCTGAACAACCAAGCGCTGGAACGCAAACAGAAAACACCCTGCAAACAGGTCTGTAAAGCAGCACCCGCAGCACTGGGAGGCAGGAGAAGGGAGTTACCAGCAGTAACTGCCCAGCAGTCACCAGCTCTCTGCGGACGAGGCTGCAGGAGGAACCTCTGCCTGCAGGGACACTGCGCTCTTCCCAAGGCCTGGACTTCAGTCCTGCCAGGGTCCTTCTGGGCCAGGAGAGACCGGGCTTGGCAGGCTTTGCTACGAAGGCCTGCCCAGAGCTTACCCACAGCAGCCGAGGGAGAAGGGAAGGACTGTATCCTGCTGCTTAGCGGGAGGTTACAAATGCTCATGCCAAGGAGAGGCTTCCAGTGCCCTGTTTCTACACCTGTATCAAATGAGGAAGCCTCTACTTCACACTGTCCCCATGAGCACAAGTAGCACATCCTACCAGGGTCAAACAAGAAAGGATTTTCTGCATGTCACAAAAGCTTGAGATTCCCTAAAATAAAAATCAATAGATGAGTTTTTAAAACATCACTGTCTGATGATACTTTTTGCAAAGGTATGAGAGTCCCCATTAGGGAATCCAGTAGTCAGAGCGTCCACCTAGAACATGGGAGAACATCAAATCCCTTGTTTCCAGTTCTCACCAAAACTAAAGGTGCATTTTGTGCACCCCTGAAGTGAGCAGTGATGAAGTTTCGGCTGCTTTTCCTGCTTCCAGAAACCCCAACCGTAACCCTTTCCTGTGACATTGCCAGAGCTGGACCATTCCTGGGACACCTGGGCTTGGAGAGGTCAGTATTAGAAATAAAACCACTAGAAAAGTCCCTCACCAAAGAGCAGGATTTTCTGAAGGGGCTGAGCAGGGGAGATGTCACTCACACACGGTGGAGTAAAGACCTGAGGGGCTCCTCTATTTCAGCTCCAAGGCAGCGAGATGACCCAAGTGCCAGGACACTAACACACCAGATCAGGAACAACAAATCTATTACAAGGCCACCATCCCAACTCCTTTTAAACAGAAAAATGAGGTGAAAGAGCAAGCACAGACAAAAAAAAAAAAGGTCAGAAACCCCACTCTGATTTCACACCACAACCTTGGTGAGCAGGGCAATGCTCACAACCAGCTCGCCCCAAGCTGGCTGCACTTCTTCAGGACGGACAGACTTGGGAGTGAGGAGCACTAGCACACAGCCCTGCTGCCCACAGGGACACCGGGCTCCTGCCTCCAGGCAGTGCCGCAGGAGCCCAGCCACATGCAGACGATGGAAACAGCCTGCA